AATATGTGTACATTGTGGAATGGCGAACAAGCTAATTAACACAGGTGTGACCTCGCATACTTATCACGTATTTGTGGTGAGAACACTTAAAATCTACTCTATGTGTCATTGACAAGTACACAACGAATTGTTGATAGCTAGAGTCACCGTGTTGTACAATGGATCTCTTGAAAGTATTCCTCTTGTCCACCTGAAATTTTGTATCCTTTTACCAACATCTCCCAATTCTTCCCCACATCTCTAGCCCCTGGTAACCACCATCCTACTCTCTGCTTCTGTGAGTTTGACTTTTTCACATTTCACATCATGAGAGGATTTGAGATCACGCAGTATTTGTCTTTCTGGTGTGTTTGACTTAGCAGAATGTCCTGTAGGTTCCTCCATGGGGTCACAAATGACAGAACTCTCTTCTGCTTAAAGCCTTTATGTGGTCTGTATTTACCCTGTCATCCATCTGTTGATGGACACAGGTGGATTCCATGTCTTGACCATCGTGAATATTGCTACCACGAACATGGGAGTGCAGAGACTCTCCGACATGCTGATTTCGGTGTATTGTCCCTGCTTTCAAACATTTAAAGGTCACACCTTCACGCTTTATCCTTTCTGAGATTCTTGAGAAGCTGTTGTGTGGTTCAAGAGCAGACTGCCGTCTTCCTTGTGTTCATCTGTATTGTCTGAAATGTCCTCTATTACTCCTGGTGCACATGGGTTGTTGATAGCGTTTGAGTCAACACATAGACCGGATGGCTCATAGAATGAACATCCAGGCATCTTATCCTGTTGTTTATCTTCCTTCATGGTCTAGTCCCTGTCTGTCTCTCTAAATGCCTCTCCCTCTATTTCCATAATTATCTTCTCTGCTTAGCTCATTGCCTGACGAATGCCTGACCATGCCATGTGCATGTTCATGCTCACGTTTACTAACCAGGTTCTCCGCCTGGAATTCTCTTTCTTTCTTTCTTTTTTTTTTGAGTTGGAGTCTCATTCTGTCGCCCAGACTGGAGTGCAGTGGCCGCTCTCGGCTACTGTAGCCTCGACCTGCTGGGACTCCGGTGATCCTTCCGCCTCAGCCTTCCAAGTAGCTGGAATTACAGGCACATGCTACCACGCCGAGCTAATTTTTTGATTTATTGTAGAGATGAGGTCTCACCAAGTTGCCCAGGCAGGTCTTGAACCCACGGGCTCAGGCAATCCACTCACCTCAGCCTCCCAAGGCGTGGGATTACAGGCTGAGCCACCGAGCCTGGCTTGGAATTCTGTTTCTATTCCTCTGTCTAGTCAGTCCTTTTTTGGATATTCCATGCAAGTTCCCCTCTTCCCTAAAGAGTCACTCTAAATAGAATAATTTTTTCTTTGTACCATTTATTCAGTTTTTATAACACACAATTTCATACTATTTTTTATGTTTATTTTTTAATGGAAGGTGAGGAAGTAGGATTTACTAAGAAGACAGAAAAGCTCTCACAGTAGGAGGGGATCCGAAAGAAGTTCACCCCATACTATTATTTTAACTTCGCCCTTGGGGCTTTAAAAGAAAAATTGTCTATTTTTATTGCTACATCATAGCAGTACATATTTTCTTGATACATGTAATAATTTGATACACTCATGTAATCAAATCAGGGTGATAGGGATATCCAGCATCTTAAATATTTATCTTCTCTTTGTGTTAGGAGCATTCAAATTATTCTCTTCCAACTGTTTTGAAATGTACAATCATTTAAAGTTAACTATAGTCACGCTGCTGATCTATCAAACACCAGGTATTATTTCTTCTAAACATATATTTGTGCCCATTAATCAGCCTCTCATCATCCTCCCCTCTCCCTCCCCTGTTTTCTTTGGCATTTATATTTTAGTCCTGGAAACAGATTTCTTTTTTTTTTTCTTTTCCTTGACCCTTTCCAGGATTTAAATGGTGCTCTAAAAAAACACACGCAGAGAATACACCCAGAAAAGGTCACTGATATTATTGATGATGATGAGCATGAGAAATCTGTCTTCGTTTTTGAAGGTAATGAGCCAAAGATTGAACTTGGAGTTAAACAAAACACATTGTGGACTCTAAAACGTTACATGATGATGAACAACTTTCGCCAACCAAACAGCTTCAGCGAAATCAGTATCTTCGGGGTTTAAATCATTGAAAGACTAGAAGAGGCTAGGAGTGGCAACTCTGTGGCCTAAGAGACAGAACTCCTCAGGAAACTCTCACCTATGGCTAACCCCAACAACTTAGCATGACATTTTTCTTAGCTTTGTACCCCCTTCCACCCAGCCCCCTCTACCCCTCCCTCCCCTCCCCAAAAAAGAATAACTTGAGAGAAGAACTCTTACACAAATAATTTACTTTGGGAAGTGATCTCAGAGACTAGGAGTAGGGAACCAAGGAGTATGAGGAGGGAAGGTGGGAACTCCAGCCGGTCTGTAGATACATCACTAAGTTGGTCACTGTTGTAGGTGACCAAGGCTCCATTCCAATGAGGATTATCTGAGGGACAGTATACAATATTCCCCAGTGTGGTCCACCCTAAACATAGAAGCAGAGTGTTTACCCCCTGGCTCTCAGCCCCAGCAATGGCTGGGCTGGTTCCTACAAACATCCCCCACTACGGGGCAGGGATGTCCCTGGACAGACGGCAGAAGACAGGCAGTGCCGCTGAAGTGAGGTGCTGTCAGGGTCCCCTGCGCACAGGTGGTCACAATGGTTGCCAATAAAACTGGCCAGAGCAGAAGTGGCATAAATAAAGTCTGACCAATTTTTTTTTTCCCATTAAACTCATATATGATCTCAGAATCCTTCTCGATGCAGTGCTCAGAGGAGCTGTGGTTAGCACGTTGGCATTGGGGTATGAAATAAACCAGTCTGCCGTCTCCAGAACAGATTACGAAAAACAATGTTGGAACTTGCAAATTCTTCCATGGGCCTATGTGAAGGTTACCAAGCACGACTGATGAATCTGGTATTTAGAGACTTGTGGATTTCCTACTTAAGTTCTCGAGGGGAGTCAGCACTTATTCTGGGAAGGCCGAGAAAGACTACCTTCCTTATAGGGCCAGGTAATGAAGTCATCCAAGAAAGGTGTTCTTACTGGGGATGGAGGATGCCTTTTCCCATGGAAGCTAGGGGTAACCTGGGAACCCCGGCCATATTCTCAGGCAGGCACTGAGACTTGGAGACTACAAAGCATCCGAAAGAGTTTGGACAGTTTGTGAGACTTGATAACATTTAAATCAGTTTACCTAGTCAGGTAGAATGTATATCAACGCTCTTTGTTCTTGGAAAAAATGTTCCCCAGTTACCTAACACTCTATAAGCATAGGCGACTAATTCTTGGATTATTCAGAGAAATTATCCAGTTGATAATTATTGTCTGTGAGAGATACTAAAGGGAAGCAGATGAATAACAAAACTGATGATTCAGAATAACGTCTGTCCTAAAAAAAATTAGTTGAGATGCACAATTGTATGTACTTTAATTGATCATTGTTTCACTAAGAATCCCTTCCTGGAACTGTGTATTTGCTAAGGAGCATATAAAGACCTGCTAGTGGATTACAAGTTAACCAATAGCACTGAAGAAGGAAGCCTTAAGCTGAAGATGGGACCATATTCAGATCTGCAAGGATTTTGTCACTCTAGGAAAAGCTCATGGTGGCCACTCTGTGTTGAAGACCCAGAGAGTGATATCATTTGTGGCCAGATCTTCATAATCAAGAGAAAAGTTGGATTTTTTTTTTTCTTTACTGAATTGTCCTTATTGGATTTCCACAAATGCCCAAGTTCACTTCTAGGGCGTATTCGGCTTCCAGAACAAATCACTGGAAAATAGGGGGCGATTTTAAAATTTAACCATGGTTTGGGGTTGGGGGCTTAGAGACAGCTTCTCTTTTAAGATATATGAATCTCCAATATATAGCCACATAAATAAGACCAAACTAGTATTTCTGCATGTGAGTTGAAAAAGAACGCCATGTGAGTTTGCAGGGAGAGGACGTGGCTTCTGGTTGCACAGAGTGTCGATGTCTGAACATCTTATGCATCTCAAGATTACTTGATGAAACAATGAGCTTTCTCTGCTTGATTTTAAAATTTGGAGATGGCTTGTTGATTTCTGTGTAGAAAAACAGGACATAGCTTAAAAAGGCTTATGGGAAAGTGGAAAAAAATGTAGAGAAAACAAGACAGTCTTAGTCATGAGAGAATCTGGGTCAACACACACTGCTTGGGGCTTCTCAGGGATCACTGCTCTTATGGTAGTCACAAGGCTCTGGGTACTAATTTGTCAGAAACTCACTCATTCCCAGACTACTCCACACATAGGCATCCCCGTTTCAGTGTTTTCTCCTTTGGTTTCAACTTAAATGATGATTCTTTACAAGTTCCCTTAGGGTTAATTGTACCGTTCTAGAAACTAAAGGTAGACGTTAACTAGGAGTCAGATCTCTTGATCTGCAGTGCTAATTAATTTTGCATCACTAAGCATTATCAAATGAAGATGGATGGAAATTTCATAGACCAGACAGTTTTCAGGCAGCTGCGATCAGCGAGTTTCCAGTAGCTGAGATAAACACTGCTTGCATATGCAAACCAGTCCAGCGAACAATGTCTTAGTTGTTGTTATTTAAATGTGGAGTCATGAATTCGCATTCATATAGCATACCAGCTTTCACTTAGTTAATTGCATACATCCAAATTCCAGAATAAAAACAAGGCATATAAGGCTCTCGTTTGCCAAATTCAGCATGAGCTGAGAATTCTTAAATTGAGATGCCTGTCAGAGGAAACCCATCCCCCAACCCAGGAACCATTTCTCTCTCACTAGTTAACACTCTGATTTCAGACCTTGAATATAATTAGGAAATATCACCCTCCCTCCCACTTTCTGAAATAAAATTGGAGAACTTTAAAAACATAAGATAGAAGTAACAATGAAGAGAAATCCAAAGCACAAAAAGATAACAAAGGACCACAATTCTGAGTTCAAATTTCTGACCCGAATAACGTCAATGCTGAGGTTGAATTGTCTCCCGCTCTCGCTTGCCAAATAATCGGCATGTCGAGGGCTCACAGATACAGCCATTCGGCTTGGCTTATCCTCACTGCATGATTTTCCAGACAGTTCCTTGGTGGTACTTCATTGAGGAAACCCCTAGGGAGTGGGGCCACACTGTGGGTTGGTTTCTTCCTCTGTTTGATGGAGGAGAGGCTGGAATATTAAAAATTCCATCTCCGAGACTCCCCTGCAGTTAGGGTTCTGGGTAGGGCTCAGGTGCTGCTGGGCAGAATTATTTGCTCGGGACTCGAATTTGAGGTGGGCTGTGAACCTCCTTTCTGTTTGAATGGATCCTAGTGGGCAGGCGTCGCTCTGGAACCAGCACGTGTGGAGGCTATTGGCAGCTTCCCGATGCCCGTTGTGGAAAAAACAATCTCCCTCTCGCCTGTCGGGTACTGCAGTGTAACTTGAATGTTGTTCTTAGAAGCACAGCCCAGGGTTTATTTCTGCAGTCTTCCCATTGATTCCGGAAAGTGTTTACTTGCTTAGAATAAGAATCATTTCTTGAATTAAGTAGAATGGAGTCTGTTCTCTGTGATGAAACTTCTATGCTGACTCGTGTGACTATTCTTAAGAAAATGGTCCATCTGGATTGGGCATCTTATCTGATTAAGTGTAAAAGCAACAAAGATACCCTGTCTTCAAGATAGGGGTTACCTGTTTTTAACTGTGCCAGAAAGCTTAATGAAAAACAAATATGGCGAGCTCAGGGTTAACATTTTCTTTTAAAGAAATAATCAGAAGACCACGGCACTTCTGCAGTATTCTCAAAAGCATCTCTCATGTCTCGCAGGCGCAGGCCTGATACAACTAAAAGACATGGCCAGCCCTCATGGTCGCTGACCCTCCCAGTTGTAAGTTTTCAGCTTCTCACCCTCTTTTTTTCTGTGAAAACAGGATGATTCTGTGAAAGAAAGAATGGGAAAGAGGATGCTTGGGCAGATCCAACCTTCAGAGACTCTGTCTCAGGAGCGGAAGCCAGCCATCCACCCCGATGCTCTGTGACAAGTACCACCTGGGAGCTTTCTAGCAGGGATGCTGGTTCCCTTCACGGGACTGTTCTCTCATTGCCTCCTGATTCCTGGTTTCTCTGTCCCTCAGAACTCTGGAGTCTATTCCCCCAAGTCTCAGGAGTAAATATAAAGTCTTACCTGGGAGAGGAAGGTTTATGCCCTCAGTGAATTGCAGGATTTTGCTAGTGTATGTCTGCAGAAACCAGGGCACTTCAGGAGGGAGGGAATTCTAAAGGTCACAGGCCAGGAGGAAGGGAATGAAACTGGAGATTAAGCTCAGTTGATCCACCCAGGAGCACTTCCCAGGGAGTCTGGAGTCCATGCACTACCTCAAGTAACAGAGAATGGTTCTGAACATCTGCTCCAAGGGTTGGCTGGAGTTTGGACTCAGGAGGTGACAGTCCACACCAAGGACCCTGAGCTGCCGCAGGGCCTGGCTCAAGGCAGAGGAGGGAAGGAAAGACTTGGGCAGGCTGGAGTGCTGGAGTGGCTCTGTCACGTGGGACTGGCCCGCTCAGCCCGATTGGGCTCCCTTGCTGCTGTAACAAATCACCACAAGCGTCCTGCTGAAGACTTCACATGTGACTCTGCGACAGTTCTGGAGGCCAGAAGTTCTGCAGTCAAGGTGTGGACAGGACTGTGTTCCTTCTGGATGCTCTGAAGGAGTTGCTGGTTTTTGTTTTTTCTCTGCTTTCTTTGGCTCAAGTGTCTTTCTCCCACTTTCAAAGCCAGCAGCATGCTCAACATCTTCAAATCTCTCTCTTCTGTCTCTGTCTCTCTTTCTCTCTGTTTCTCTCTTTGTCTCCCTGTCTCTCTGTCTCTCTGTCTTTATCTCTGTTCATCTGTCTTTCTCTGTCTCTCTATCTCTCTCTGACTCTTGTCTGTCTCTCTCTGTCTTTCTTTCCCACTGTTTTCCCCTCTCTCTTTCTTTCTCTCTGTCTCTCTCTGTCTCCCCCGTCTCTCTCTCTCTCTCTGTCTCCACCTTTTCTCTCTTGTTCTGCCTCTGTCTCTCTGTCTCTCTCTGTGTCTCCGTCTTTATCTCTGTCTGTCTCTCTTTGTGTGTCTCCGTCTGTCTCTTGTCTGTTTCTCCCTCTCTCTCTGTCTCCCTCCCTCCCTCTCTCGTTTCTCCCATCTCTGATTGCTGCTCATCTCAGCCCATCTCCTGCTCTGACTCTGACCCACTTGTTTTCCTCTTGGACCCTGGGCCCTCCCCAGTCATCCAGGATAATCTCTCCATCTCAAGATGCTTAATGTAATCACATCCACAAAGCCCCTTTTGCCTGTAAAGTAATATTCACAGGGATTAAGAGGAGGACATCTTGGGGGGGGAACAAGTCTTTGTCCATCATACCCTCTAATCATGTCTCCCGGGAGTTGTCAACTGGCTAGTGCTTCATCAGGCATTGAGGAATCTGCTAACGAGGGGAAGGTGGGGTCTTTATGAAGTGTTGGGGAGTAGAACTCTCCTGGTGGGGGCTGGGCTGGGATACTGTGGCTGAGAAGGGCTCCTGGAATCCTGGAGTTGTAGAGGCAGCAGGAGTCAGCGTCAGCGCTTTGTGTGTGTGTCTCTCTCTCTTTCTCTCTCTGTGTGTGTGTGTGTGTGTGTGTGTGTGTTAGGGTCTCACTTTGTCACCCAGGCTGAAGCGCAGTGGCACGTTCAAGGTCACTGCTGCCTCGACCTGCTGGGCTCAGGCGATCCTTCCACCTCAGCCTCCCAAGTAGCTAGAACTACAGGCGTGGGCTACCAAGCCCGGTTAAGTTTCTGATTTATTGTAGAGACACGGTCTCGCCAAGTTACCCAGGTTGGCAGAGTCAGTTTTTGAGAAGCCAAAAATCTTCCTTAGCCAGGGCTTTTTGGAAGAGAAGAGAGTAAGGAACATAGATGTGATCTAGAGATTTAGATCTCATCATATGCTCTGGTGTCCTTTCCTGTCCAAATTCTGCCAGTGCTTAGAAGAAAAGGGGTTGAACTTAAACAACAATCACAGCTACTGACCAAAATAAGGCAGTAATGACTGAGAGACTGTATCTGTTTTGTCTTGCCTTTTGTTTGCTTGTTTTTACTTTCGGGGCATGTGAAGGGGAGGATGTAGGTGCTCTGGACTTGGGGGCCATCTAGGGCGGTAGAAACTCACAGAGCACTAGCTGCTGTGGGTGTGGTCCAACCAGGGAATGGGGGAGCTCAGTGTCCTCACAACAACGTGGCTGGGTTTAGGAACATAGTCAGTAGCAGTTACAGGTGGTTTAGACAAACCACCCTCTAAAGACTCATAGGAATAGGTGTAAGGGCTATGTTTAAGAAGAAAGGGATTGCGCCAAGCCACAGGAAAAGATTATCCCCAGAAAAATGAACTAACGTGAATCGGTTTCTATGTGCCAGCCTTGTGTTAAGTGCTTCACACACGTGTTATAACCGAGACATTACATTCTGTTGTGGGAAGGAGGTAAGTGAGGTTCAGGAAGGTTAATTAATCTGCCCGATTTATCCTCAGCTGGGAGGTGGTGACACAGAGGCCACCACTGGGTCCTTCTGCACAAAGTTTGGCAACCTTCCTTCAGGCCACCCTGGAAATATGTCCCATGGTTCCTTTGAGACCTACTAGGCTTGTGGGAACCGGCTTACGCTCTACGTGGAAACTGAGGCTTGCCAAGGTGAAACACGTGACCAGAGGTCACATGGGTTCTCATGACAGAACTGACAAGCATCTAGGTTTCTGCCTTCCAGCTCAGCATTCTGTTGGTGATGATAGACTCTCTGATTATAGACCCACTCAAGAGGGAAGCCAAGCTCAGGAAATGAGCTCAGCCCAGGCTCCATGTGATAACACAAACCACAGACACTCCCCGGACACACGTTTGCTCAATGCTGCGAAAAGCTCAGAGCTGCGTGTAATGTGCCCCTCTACCACCCACCCAGAGTCACAGAGCATGTGGAACACGCCTCCAGTCAGTGCCTGTCACATCTGACACTCACTTAGAGGATCTGGTATTCACCCAAGGGAGAGTCACCAAGCATTCACCCAAGGGAACGTTGCCAAGTGTCCTGTGGGGATACATTTCACAATATAATATTTGAGAAGACACCCGTAAGTTAGGATGAATATAAACATGATAAAGCTTATATATAAAGTTTGAAGAATGTTAAACAATTGTCTAGACTTTTAATAATATGTCCATGCCTTGTTTATGCATTAAGAAGACTGGCCGTATGAAGTGGCTCACACCTGTAATCCCAGCACTTTGGGAGGCTGAAGTGGGAGGATCACTTGAGTCCACGAGTTCAAGACCAGCCTGGGCAACATAGCAAGACCTTGTCTATACAAAAATATGAAAAAATTAGCTGGGGCTGGGCTTGGTGGCTCAGGCTGTCATCCCAGCACTTTGGGAGGCTGAGGTGAGTGGACTGCCTGAGCCCGCGAGTTCAAGACCAGCACTGGCAACTTGGTGAGACCTCGTCTCTATAATAAGTCAAACATTAGTGGGGCATAGTAGCACATGCCTGTAGTTCCGACTACTTAGAAGACTGAGGCGAAAGGATCGCCAGAGTCCAGCAGGTGGACACTGGAGTGACTGTGAGTGTGCCACTGCACTCCAGCCTGGGTGACAGAGTGAGACTCCAACTCAAAAAAAAAAAAGTCAGCCAGGCGTGGTGGTGTACATCTGTAGTTCCAGGCACTCAGCAGGTGAAAGGATTGCCCGAGTCCAGCAGGTCAAGGCTGCGGTGAGCCATGATCTTGTCACTGCATCCCAGCCTGGGTGATGGAGTGAGACCCTGTCATAGCAATGTCAACCCTCAAATGGAGGGAGTGGGTGGAAGTTGGGGGTGGGAGTGGAAACACAGAGGGACACAATGACTGTGCCCTGAATTCGTGGCTGCAAGTCCTATGGAGAGCTTGGCTTCTTCCAGGCAGTTTGACTTAATGCTCCAAGGTTCATTTTCGGTGTTGGGACCAGCAGAGGTGGGGAGGAGTGGACAGTCCAGGCCTTGGCCCAGCTATGTCTGGATAAACTGGA